ATGGCCTAAGGGCACTTGCGACAATGCGGCGGAGTGGTTAACGTGTCGAGCTTACACGCTGCAGTGTCATGGCTCTACTCCCGCTAAGGGTCGTTAATTATACCAAAAACTTTGCCTTTCAGACCATATAAAAGTGGCTTACTCTTGTCACAAAACCAGCATGAATTTCAAAATATGATAGGAATTCATTGATAAGGCTAAACTCAAAAACCCATTCATTTTATTGCTACATTATTGTTATCATACAATATTATATCATCATTATACTTATAGGCTAATTAAATTAACTATCTAAGGCATTCACGCCAGAGGCTTTGACAATTTTCCTTTGGATCCCTCTGGCCGTCTTAGCTGCTGGCGTGTACTCTATTTAAACTGCAAAGTAAGAAAGGTTCTACGCTATGCTTATCACGCCACACCTATGATTCTCATTTTAAATCTGACATTGCAACATTTGATGAACATACTGGTTGCTTCATATCTACTATACTGATTTATTGTTTCTTCTTCCACACTTAATCCTTTTTCACTATTTATATAGATCAAATTGATGAGAACCTAAAACGAGCCCTCCAAGAAGATCTGACGATCATGGCGCCAGGACTCTACATTCAGGCGGTCCGAGTCACCAAGCCTAAGATTCCTGAGCAAATTCGTCGAAACTATGAGGCAATTGAAGCAGAAAAGACTAAGCTTTTGATAGCGATGCAAAAGCAAAAAGTCATCGAGATGGAGGCGGAAACAGAGCGACGAAGAGCTAGGATTGGTAAGTCGGTGATCTCGAGATGCATCATACTTGCTGCCATCCTTATCCAATTTCTTTTTACTTTATTCCAACGATTAGCTGGTACTTTACTCTTCATGGTATTTCTCAAATTAGCCATTTTCCTCTTTTGCTTCATGGCATTTTTTACACTGGTATCGGGGCTTGATTCGTTTTACAATAACATTATGTGGGAGGTTATATTATGTTTATTATGCGTACTACTTATTCGACCATGACATACTTAATCGTTAGTTCGCGTAAAATTTGTCTAAGTATTTTACTGTTGAGTTTGAGTCAACTTCTTGATCCATAGCTCAGATGACTCGACAAATCCAAGGGACGATTAAGTGCAATTCGTTACTACAGTCTGACATGTGTGACTCTCTTTAGGATTACTTATCATTAGCTCTGGCTTGGTTTAAATTCGTAACGTAAGGGCTACTGCATTAACACTACTTACCTCAATACAAACTTATACTATTCGGCATGAGCTGTCGTAAAGTATTTGTGCAATTTTAATTTTCTGATAAACTCCTTGATTATTTCGGGCATCTGAAACTGTCCTGTGGCATCTTTCACTCACATGATCATCACAAATCAATCATATTTTGTCTTATCCCTCCTGACTTCTTGTGCTGCCAATGTATATGGCTTTCGAAACTTACCGATAATTCATATTTTTCGTAGTATAATTAAAATTTCACCTCAATCACTATCATATTACGCTTCTAAAGCTAAAATAGTCTACAGTCGATTCAAAATTTTTTATTTGCCCATTTTACTCAGGGGATATTATCACATTTTGCAAGGTCTTTCCCACTAATATCTACAGCAAGTTAGATAATATTATCATATTTGTGTGCCCCCTGGCCTAGTTCAGTTCCAGATTCAGGACAGACCCTCGGAAAGTCACCTCTTTTCCTGCTCTGCACTGAGCACATTTTAGTACCGAAGCTGTGGAAATATCTTCTTGGTTTGACTAATTTTACTCTGATTCAAATTAGCTTTCTTTTTCTTTTTACTCGTTTTCATTTAGGCCCTTTTGCACGCCTTTTGACAGCAACATTAATTAGTGTAACTGGGGCCTCATCCTACCGCTTTCTATTTGATTGTGTTATTTGAAGCTAATAAACTCTTTTGTTACTCATTGAAATTAATGATATTCAGATACTGCTGGGTATCTCCACCAACAAGAGGATATAAAGCTTCAACGGGCCATTAACTTTCATTTTGCTTTCTCTTCCATGAAGGTGCTGTTTTATCACTCCTGTGTGGAAGGTAGTAAAGGTTATGCATAATGCATAGCTTACATATTTATCCACATATTTTTTTGTCGAATTTTAAAATACTTTTTTAAAATTAAAATTCAAACTTTTATTATGTTTGTATTCATCGTCTGAAGTTAAAAACTGTAATCAAATCTTATCACATCATGTCTTGTACTTTACATGTTTCGTTCATAGGTTCCTGCATTTATCCTCACAATATCTTATGCAAATTTGTTTATTTCATCAGAATTAACTTTGAGGCTTCCTTAGTAAAACTATTTACGATGACTGATTTCATATGAGAAAGTTTTCACTGATTAGTTGTAACTCTGTGTTAAGACTGGCGTCTTGGAATGTACCGAGTCACCCTTAAGATGCTGTAAATTATCATGAACACTATGGCCAAGGACACAGGACTAGGCACATCTCTGCCGTACGTCTCACTGTCGGTCCTACCAAGTTGTGGAGACGAGGTTAAACCAATACTAGCTTAAGTGAAGCTTGTTGGGAGGACTTTGATTTCGTATGAGAGTGCATGAACAAGGGATTCGAGGGTCTATCTCACCAGAAGAGGACGGTTGAATCCCGTTGTACTGCAGCATTTTGGCTTTTATACCGCGTTCAGGCTGATGCAGTCCACGGGACCTGCGTTTCGGATGAAAACAGGCTGGGCTTTTGTTCATCATATGATGGATATTATCAGAGCTAGATCTCATTCCTGTAAGTCTTATGTTAACACTAGAGCAAGAAGACTATCCGACTCTATCTTACCTCAATTAAGCAAAATAAGATTAAAAAACCTAGATAGATATAGGTCTGAATATCTATATAGGCCTTTTAATTTTTTTTGCTCACTTGAGTCTATATAGGAGGTAAGATAGAGCCGGATAGTCTTTTTGCTCTAATTTTAACGTGAGACTTTTATAGGAATTAAATCCAGCTCTGATGATGTCCATCATATGATGGACGAAAGATCTGCTTTTTCACCCGAAACGAGGTATCATGGACTGCGTCAACCTGAACGCCGTATTAAAGCCAAACGGCTCCAGTACAACGGGATTCAGCCGTCCTTTTCTGGTGAGTTCGACCCACAAATCTCTTCTTCATGCACTTTCCTACGAAATGAAGGTCCTTCCAACAATGTTATCTCTGGAGCTTCATCTAAACCCAGTTTCTATAAGTGAAGTTTATTGGCACCATGAGACCTACTCATATCATTATGGTAAAATTTAATTGTAAAGTCCTTCATCACCTTATCTGACCTAGGGTGAGTAGAACTCTTACCCTGAAATGTTATCTTGTTTAAACGTATTTGGGAGATGGCCTAGATAGTTTTGGAACTGATCTGATAATAGCTAAGGTGCTTTATTCTCTGGCGAGGATTTGAATAAAAATCTAAGAATGAAAGCCAAGCGTACTTTCAACACAAATCGAGAGGGCGTTTGAGGCTATTAAACCATCAGATGCTGCGGCCACGTATTTTTTTCCTTCCATAAATGGGATTATAGAGATATATTACATCTCATCTTGCCCTAGGACTGAATATTCGGCTGAGATTTGTTAGTCGCTTTTAACTAGCTAAATCTGAGTTAAGTGATAAGCGAGTAATTAGCCTATTTCCTGCTAGTGAAATTTTTTTTTTCATTGACAAAAATCCTTTCACTTAGCGACTTAGCAGCTGCATTCCGACTAGTTATTAGGATGTACAAGACTACGGTGCAGAAATAAAAAGTGTGTTTGCGAAAGCTTAGCTGATTCCAGATCTTAGTCATTCAGCTAAGAAAAAGTCTTATTTTCATGCCTCATTTTCAAGGGATATATTCTGATTTTCTATAGTCCATTGGCCTAGGTTTGGTTCACTATTAATGCTCAATTTTTTATGTTAGGTCTAGCTGGTTGAGGTCCGGACTGTTTCTATATTGGTCTTTTTTTCTGCAATTTTTCATTATAGATGTCATGCTGCGCGAACTTCGCTTTTCCTGTTTCCACAACCTGGGGAAATTAACTTCACCTTCTAGTTTATATTCAGAACCTGATATTGTTATGGCGCTGCATTATGATCTCTAAATTCATTTAAAAAATTTCCTTAATTTGTTATTTTTATTTGTTTTCATTTCTCTTTTCCTCATGCGCCCCCTTCATCCTCATTTTTCCCATCACTATTAAATATCCGGTTTGGGGCTTACAGAGGCCGAAAAACAGGCTGAAGTGGAGCAGATCGAATGGCGTGCCCGCATCGAGGCACAGCGCAATCAGCTTTCGGTGAGCTCCCTTGAAGACGAAGCTAAGGTAGCACGGGCACGCGCCGAAGCAGACTCAGAGCTTTATCATGCTCAGAAACAAGCCGAGGCGGACCAGGCCCGTTTAACGCCACAATATCTCGAGTTGGCCAAATTCCAAGCGATGTCTGCAAATGCCAAAATTTACTTCACCTCTGGTGGGGCCGATGTTGCCGGTGGTTTTGGTGGCGTCATGAATGGACCCTTGCTTTTTGATCTGCTGGCGAGCCAGTTATCCAGCCTCAAAGCTCAGATGCACAATTTAACACAGACATTCTCTTAAACTTAGCAAACAAGCGATTTTTACACATTCACCCAGGATCTTGCAGAGGGTCTTTCAATAGATATTATAACACCAACATTTTATATGTGTATATGTTTGTCAATGTTAAAATTTTGTATATTAAAAGTTACGATTATGTTTATCCCTTTCGACTTACATTTTTACTACTATTATCCCCGCTGTCCTTGCCTCTTCATGCTCTTGCTAGTCTTCAGTTATTAAGACTTGCTTTATACTAGGTGAGAACACATTTCTTTACCAAATTTTATGTAAATTGAGCATGCGTTTGCATCAAAGCTCTTTGTGGCCCTCTCTTTTGTTATTGATTAGAGGTCATTTCGTTTTATGGGAATTCTGGATATTAGTTTTAATGGCCCTTTGAAATACCTATATTTTGTAAACTCATCGCGCGTGTCCATTAAAATAACTAAAAATCTTTGTTACCACAATACTTTATTTTTCAAACTTATGTGAGCTAGATACAAATTACTCCTTTTATACTGTGAAAACTCACTTTTTGTCCTTACCTTCTGAGATAATAGGATGATTATCTTAACGGGTTTTATCAAACATGCTGCAAAACCTGACACTTAGTCGTGTCTGTTAATTTATGAGAAGGCTAGTCACTATATCGCTTTAGGTGTGTAAGATTTCCCATGATTGAATTAGTAGGCCTTATGATGCGTCGCCTCCCTCAATTTTTTCTTATCCTAGATGGTCTGCAGTTTCGACCTCGCCTATTTGCCTGAATACGTATTTTAAGCTGATTTTTTGTTTTTTTTATTCTAAGATATATATATCCGAGAGGGCTGCTTTGATCTCATTACAATGCATCGCACTCGCTTATAAACTTTTATTGTTGGGGGGACTTTCATTTCGTAATAAAGTGCATTAGGAATAGATTCGTGGGTCTATCTCACCAGAAAAGGACAGATGAATTGCGTTGTACTGCAGCCGGTTGGCTTTTATACGACGTTCAGGTTGATGCAGCCCACGAGACCTCTCGTTTCGGTTGGAAACTAGCTGAGCTTTCGTCCATCATATATACGAGGGAGGAGGTCTCGTTGACTGCGTCGACATGAACGTCTTATAAAAGTCAAACGGCTGCAGTACAACGGGATTTATCCCTCTTCTGGTGAGATCGACCTACGAATCTCTTCTTCATGCACTTTCATACGAATTGAAAGTCCTACCAACAATGTTATCTCAGGAGATTCATCAAAACCTAATTTATCTTCGTATAAACTTTTAAACAGGACACTACACAATTTTATTATACTGGATTTGAGTATTTGGTCCACTTTTCACTCATATGCAGTGATTGAAACAGCGCCTACTTTCACAGAAAAATTATTATTGCATTTGATTGAACCAGATTGGTGTTTCGCATTGTCAAGAAGTCTAAATAAGTATAGCCTCTAAGACATTCCATCCTTGAATCGCTGATTTTTGTTTCATTTTCAATTGTTACTTGCCTTATGTCTTACTTTACCACCCTGAGTTGTGGCAATGTTTAGTTTGACAATAACTGTCATCGTACGCCCCTTGAAGTATCCTTGTCTATTCATTATTATTTGTAAATATGTTAATTAGTGAGGGATATTAATTGGACTTGGAGGAAAGTAAACCGCAACCGATTCTGGATCAGAAAACTTTGTTTTGAATGAATTCTTTTGGTTTTTATCTGCATTCTCGCTATTTACTTGGACAACTTTAGGCGGAACTAAGTAAGCACTAACCAACGATGAGTTGTTGATTTAAAATCTAATTTAAGGTATGAAGACCAAGATGGTGTGGCCTTTTGTGTGGTCGCAGTCTCTTTTCGTTGTATAGAAGTTGCTTGATCTTGTTTTCGCAACTAGGCGATATTGGTAGGAAGACTTAGAGGAACGCTTCTTGTCCGGAGTCCATTGTTTGCATGATCATTTCCAAAGTTGAACCGTGGACGTGGTGCATTCCCAAACGTTTCGCCGGTATCGTCAGTGAATATCGCCATTCTTAGCACCACACAACAACTCGTCAAAGAGACAAGAGTTGTGTGGTGCTAAGAATGGCGATGTCGACGAAACGTTTGGGAATGTACTACGTCCACGGTTCAACTTTGGTAATGATGATGCAGACAATGGACC